GTTTTCAGATTACCCCCCCACGTCCCGAATATCGTGATCGTACGTCAAGCGGTTAAGATTTGTGCCCAACTTTTGACGGACGGACGGACGCTCGGACGGACGATCATGCGATTCTACAAGCTGCATCTGACTATGTCAGATGAGCTCACAAAGGCCAGCGTTATAATTCGAACAAGTGAACATTCATGTACACATAGCTACCAAGATGGAAGCCGTTGGATGTGTTTTCGTTCTGTGATCGTGTGAAATGAAGCGAGCGTCGAGCGAATTTCGCGATCACGATTTCCTACCTGCTCTCTTATTCATGTTGTTTGTGCACAGCACGGGCGTGCGGTGTACTTGCGTGTTGCAGATGAGCATTTGATTGGCATTTACAGGCGATTATAGGCGAACGACGTGGATATTCGTCCAAGCATCGGACACTTGTTCGCATGCGCTATTCGTCCGTGCAGTTGTTGCGTATGCGCTGTTCATGTTGCATGCCGCCGCAGGCACACGGCACAAGTGCCGGAGGTAGGAAGTGTGAAGGGGGGGGGGGAGTCAGGGGGGTTTCCCCCAAAAAATTTAAAATCTAGATGCTCTAAAATGCTAAATTGCTATGAGCGTTTTGCTACGGCAGCCCTACGGCTGTGACGCCCCTGCATACATGCGTATGTGGTTATACACCATAGATAGTGTTTGGTACTGACTCAAGTATAATAAGAGATCCGAGTCGGTTTATAGTTAGCGTTAGGTTTGTTGTGGTTGTGGTTGGGGTTAGAGAGTAGGCGACTGCCTAGACTAGCATTATATTACATTTATGTATAATACAACATAAACAGCGCATGCGCAACAATAGTCCGCAAATGCAGACGTTATAACTCCGCTTTGCTAATCTGAGGGTGCGGGTTTATCATTACTGGTTATCATTACTGACCATTACTGGGGTCTGCGTCGGCTCGGACTAGCGCAACAACTGCTTGTACGATTAGCGCATACGAATAGGTGTCTGATGCTCGGACGAATATCCACGTCCATAGGCGAAATAGTCTAGAGTAGAGAAACCAGGACTTGGTAGTAAATACGTTTCGTGTTTATTTACCTTCTTATTTTATTGAGACGTTCCAAGTGCCTGTGAGCAAATCTTCATCTAATAAACACTTACAAGTTACATCCTGGACAGTCCACCATAAGCGTAAGGCAGTGGCTACGGGTACGGTAGGCGTATCTTAATGTCTCGAGGCTACAGGTACGGGAGTCCATTAGCTTTCATACTTAACGAGACAAATATGGCGGCGGTGGCGCCAGATTTCGAAATAACGCCTTGGGAAATAAATTCACGATTTGAGAGTTTAGATGAGCTAGAACCCTAACCCTAACCNATGCTCGGACGAATAGCGCATACGAACAGGTGTCCGATGCTCGGACGAATATCCACGTCGGTCTACTTAAACCTTGACATGACTGCATGACACAATGTTACATCATAATACATGATAATATATATTTTTATTTAACATAATTTAACGTTTATTTCTAACCAAAAAACAACACTTCAAACTACTGTAATAAAATGCAAACTCTTAAACTACACCGAACAAGATTCATGTGAGTAGACTCAGAGCTCTGGTAGAATATCGCGGTAAGTATCGCGTGGTATCGGTTGCCGCAGATAGTAACGTTTGGTATCGGAAACTGCAGGCGCCCTGAGTTCAGATGTAGGACTAGTAAAGCCAGACTGTTGGTCTAAACCTCTCTGTATTTTAAATTTTAGCTTGGGATATGTGGTCTGATTTAATTTATTATTTGTATATCTCACCCTTTATGTTTTGGTTGGATCTTGTCGTAGCTTGAATGAATATTTGATAAACTTTGAGAGTTCGACGAGATCGGCCACATGATTTGTGATGAATAACCATTTTATGGATGATTTGCCTAGGAATGTAAAGTGTATAAATTTGTCTTCTATCTTTTTTCTGATGTGGTTGGTGGCAGTGCAGTCATAGAGTAGGTGGAGTTCATCACTATTGACCCGTTATTGCATTGGGAACAGAATCTAAGATTAGCAGGGATGGATTGGTGACGGCCTTGTTCAATCATTAGGTTGTGATCGCTTTAGTTTGGTTAATGCTCTTCTTGCTTGATTGGAATATGAATTTAATAGGTATGGTTCAGGTTCATATTTTGTTTTAAGTTGTCTATAAAATCTTAGTTTGTTTAACCCTCCTTTTTTTCTATTGTCATATTCAGGTCGTTAAAGAATATGGTGGTATATTTTTGTTGCAAGTTTCTCTTCATGTTGAGTGTGGTTTCATGTAGTTTTGATTGGAATTGCACACCAGATTGTGTTTTTTGTCATAAGTTCTAAATAAGTATGTTGCTATTTTTGACCAATTTGTGAAAGTCTTAGTACTGCCTTCCGGAATGTCGTTGTAGAATTGAGAAGGGGATTCCTTCAGGAGGGGGTTAGGACTTGTGAATTTTGCATGGTGCCATAATTTTGCCACTTGAAGAACTATATTGTGTAATAAGGGGAACATTCCTAGCTCAGCTTTGGCGGCTATGTTGGAAGTTTTAGTTCCGACTCCCAATACCCATTTGGAAAATTTGTTCAGAATCGTTTCAAATGGGAAGCGGTTCTATAGGCTGAACAGGGTTTGTATATTTGATTGGGCATGAGTATCTGATTCCGATTTGATAATTTTGGAGATAATGGTCTGGACCCCAAATTTCACAGGCATGTAGGGTTATGGGGGATATCACAGAGTGGAACAGCGTAATGTACGTTTTGACCGGAGTTTCGTAGTTAAAGATAGAGTGTCTTAGACTGCATTGCTTTTAGTGCCTTTTTTCTAAGTTCTTCTACGCCAAATTTTGAGTTACCATTGTGGTATAGGTGGAACCCTAGGTATTTGTAGTGCGGTCTAGAGTTTAGAGTGGTGGAGCCGTATTTGAATTGATATTTGTGAACGTTTAAGTGGCTGTTGCTAAAGGTGACAATCTCACTTTTGCTATGATTAAGCTCTAGTTTCCAGGTGTCGCAATACAGTTTTAAGTTGTTAGGGGAATTCTGGAGGCCCGTTTCAGTCTCGCTGAATAGTACGAGGTCATCAGCATACATGAGACATTTGATTGGTTCTGACATAATTTTAGGATATACCCAATTTTTAAGGGAGTTCGGGATGTCATTTACGAACATATTAAATAGTATTGGGCTTAGTATGTCACCTGACGGACTCCAGCTTGACAAGGGAAGGATTCGGTTAATCTGCCATTGCTTTTTATGCTTGCCTCCGTCTTCGAATACATGTTAGTTATCACATCTAGAATATTGCCCTCTATGCGTATATGCTTTTAGTTTAAGAAAGAGGCCTTTATGCCATATCTTATAAAAGGCGTTTTTTATGTCGACAAAGCACGAGAATAGGGTAGACCTGTTCACTTTTACGAATTTATCTACCAGTGTTTTTATTATCAGGAGGTTGTCGGAGGTTCTGCGACCTTTGATACTTTGAGATTATGTTGTTTGATAGTAGATAATTAGTGATACGTTTATTGAGTAGGGAGTTGAACAGTTTTCCGAGACAACTCGTAATGGAGATTGCTCGGTAATTATCAGGAAGGTTTGGGTCACCAGATTTAAAGATGGGTGTTATTGTGCTTCTAGCCCAGATTTTGGGGTAGATTCCCGATTCTAGTATTTGGTTGAATATTTTGCATATGACTCTAGCCATCTGATACATACGTACACTGTATTTGACGTTTGTGCTTATCGTTATGCTTCGTTGCGCTTCATCCACAGCTTTATTACTGGCATGAAAACATGCTATCAATACTAATATGTAGACTAATAATAAGCTTGCTTATTTAGCTAACAATAATATTAGTTATTTGTATGTTTTAAAAGTAATACTCGTATGTCAACATTCCCTAGTAATAACATGCTGTACTGCAGTGTGCGAAATTAAGCCTCTTTGCCTGGTAGTCATAATAGACAACTGGATTTTGTAATCTGGTGGTAGTCAGTGTCAATGAGCAATTTTGGTGTTTCATAATATTGACATTCCGTTAGTTTTGCAGAAACAAGTAGAGTCCATCTATGTTATATCATGGCCAACGTCTATGCTATTGATCAACGTATTGGATAATGAATACTAGTTTTAAGTATATTTGATAGTTGACATTTAATTTATTTTAAAAAACTTGCAGGAAAAGGAAATGTGAAATTATTCCATATAGAAGATGTATCGAATTTAAATTGTGATTTTATTCAACCGTGTTAGGCAAAAACTGACACTGACAGTCAGGTAGTCCACCAGAGTAGTTGCTACTGCATTCTCCTCATCTATGTGTAAACCTGGTAGTTTCAGACTAACAGACCACAATAAATTTTGAACTGTGATGCATTGACCATCAAATTAATGCCACCCTGCATGCCATTGCCTGCAGTCGAAAGCTCAATAACATAGTACTACATACATACATTTCTGGTGAGTTGAATGCATAGCTTAGACCATGAATCATTCAGTAAGTTCGGGTTAGTATGGTTTATAAATCACAAGATCTTGCCACTGTGTGTTCTAACAGCAAATTATCTTAGGCAAGTGATGTAAATTATATATATATATATGCTTCATTAGTGGAAGATATAATATCTGTATTCTGTTAAGTTTAATGTGATTTCTCTCACATCACAACATACAGTAAGGGTATCTGATTGGTTAATGTGCTGATGTTGGAAACTAAGTCAAAAAAATAACAAATTTGATTATTGATTTTATTGACATCAAAATAACACATTTTTTATTGGATGAGCTAGAGTGTGACATACCTTGTTCCACACACTCATCTCAAACCACTTTTTGATACTATGTAAGAATATATATGCATCATGTCCTTTCAAATTTCAAAACTTTACCTTAATGTTCCATCTTCTTTTATCATCTATGGACCCAGTCTAATAGTGAGATTTCATTTAAGTGTTATTCAGTGAGATAACAGATTTGTAAAATGTTAAAAACGTTGACATTCTTATATCACAGGAATACTCGGAAGATAGCAATTCTGAGCCAGATGTCGATTTGGAAAACCAATACTACAACTCTAAAGCACTAAAAGAAGATGATCATAAGGCAGCTCTGACTAGTTTCCAAAAGGTAAGTTTTGAAATTAGTTAGATCAATATAGCCAGATATATATATGCATGTTATAGCTTAGGTGGAGATAAATTTATTTAACAAATTAATGCTGCTGATAAGGTGATGTATGTAAGGTGTTTGTTGCAAATGTTTTTAGTCTTTGATGGACATGGTGACGTGTAGACTAGAGGACCCTACAGTTATTTAACCCTCCTCACATGCTTGCTGACACTTGCATAATTAGATTCTATTCTACCATGATATTGAATTTCGGGCTTTGTATTTAAATTACTCGGTTTTGTTGTCCATGTGTGATCATTGTTTATTTGATAGGTTTTACAACTTGAGGAGGATAAAGGTGAATGGGGGTTCAAGGCATTAAAGCAAATGATAAAGATCAATTTTAAATTGGTGAGTAAATTCGACAGAAAAGCCATGAAATATTTTAATTTATTATAGCACTGTTATAATCGATGGCATTCAATGACGATAGCTCGAATAGTGGGATTATAGCTAGCAAATTAAAGTTATAGTGTGAGTCAGTAGTCAGAGTAACTACAGATATGTTAGGTAATGTTTATCTATTTTAAATATGTCAGTGAATAGATTATACATTCAGAAGCCAGAGCCAGATATACAAATCGGCCCTGCCGCAGCGAATTTAATCACTGTACGCGTGTATATTGTATAGCCCTTCCTACAGCAGGCTTGGTTGAACAGTGAGGTTTGCTTAGTCATCACCGCGAGCCCAAGTGTTCCTCCTGAAATTTTTATCAGTTAAAAGCTATGAGACATTTGAACTCTCTGGTTGGAAACATTACACATCTGACTTGCTTTTCCTTTCATGGGACTCGCCATAAAATCTTGTCATGTCACAGAGGTCACAGAGTCGTGGAGAAGATAGACATTCTGGTTATGGATCTATCATCGTTGGTGTTAGGCGCTCGATGCTTTAACGCATTCAGTGTACGACGAACGTGCTCTGTTATCTTGCAGAGCAATTATGAGGAGATGATGACTAGGTACAAACAATTGCTCACTTACATCAAGTCCGCCGTCACGCGAAACTACTCTGAGAAATCCATCAATTCGATCCTAGACTACATATCGACATCAAAAAATGTAAGTTTTCATCTCTCATAGTAGAAGTTATTGTTGTGTGTGGTATACAGTTATGTAGTGAGTGCGTGCGTGCGTGCGTGCGTGCGTGCGTGCGTGCGTGCGTGCGTGCGTGCGTGCGTGCGTGCGTGCGTGCGTGCGTGCGTGTGTTGTGTGCTGTGTAGTGCGGAATAATAGGTCCATTGATTATGCAATGTTGATGAATGCTAGAGTAACTGGCACCTTGTGTAGTTAATAAGTACATTACATTATAGCCAAACGCGTATTAGTTTGTCCAATATCACTGCTGGTTACATTACAAACACGACTTGAAATCGGTTGTTGATATGTATCAACGTATCATTTACGTGCCGTAAATGTCATCCAGGAGTCAAGCGATGATCTAAACATTTGTGCGGCCTGTATGTTTTGGACGCCAGATGAAACGGAGGTGTCAGCGGTGTAACCACGGCCAAGGACTAAACATGGAAATAGAGTAAAACACACGTACTAATCACGGACGCACGTGGACAGCCCTGACAAAAAGTTCCTTATCACGAGCGTCCATGTTTACGAAATCGTGCGAAAATGTCCGGTGCACTATAAATCTGTATCACACCCGCTTTGCCGGCAGCAGTTTGAAACTGTAAACAACTGATTTTTGGATTGCGGATTTCAATTAGACATTTCTTAGTAACCAGCAGTGATATTGGACAAACTAATACGCATTTGGCTATAAGGTAATGTACTTATTAACTACACAAGGTGCCAGTTACTCTATCATTCGCCAACATTGCATAATCAATGGACCTATTATTCCTTTAACTGTGAAGTCGACGCATTTGTAAGTTTGAAGGTTAAAATTGATTATATTGATATTCTGTACATTGAGTGATAACTAATGATTGTATGACAAATGTAAAAAAAGTAAATAGTTATATGATAAAATGTTATTATAATTGATCAAAGTAGCTGAAAATGTATGTTAAAGGTTATGTGTTTACATTGTATCAAGCTATGTGATGTGACTGATGCATAATGTCTTTATTTACATTATTATTATAACATTTTTCGCTCACAGATGGAGCTGCTGCAGGAGTTTTACGAGACTACTCTAGACGCTCTGAGAGATGCTAAAAACGACAGGTTGTGGTTTAAGACGAACACAAAACTAGGCAAGCTGTACTTTGATCGAGAAGAATTCAACAAGCTAGCAAAAATCCTCAAGCAGCTGCATCAGTCGTGTCAGGTATGCCACGTCGTGAGAACGATGAAAACGTTCTTATGTTTACAACAATCACATCCATAGCACACTTTGTATTGTAAGATTTGGCTCTCTGTCCTATGTGGTCTCTGATTACGTGATAGACGTGGGAGTCTCGCGAGTAAATTATGCTGTGATTTTCTCATGGTCACTTTAAGTAAATCCATACGGATTCGTTAAAGCCACACAATGCGCATACAAACGCTAATTTCTCCAGTACTAGACTAGCAAATACTTCGTGTCATGCATAATCACACTACGTTATGACAAAATAAACTCTAGTTTCTCCCATTTCACTGCGCGTTGTCTTATAAAAGGTATTTGAAAATACCTCCAATGTTGTTCAAATTCTCCGATGTTGTTGACAGTTTCCCCAAGCAACCGTGCAGCGGTGCTGCGGTACAGCGGTACGGGTGTAGCAAAGATAAAATCATGTGACGTCACCTAACCACTTCGAGGCTAAATTGTTTGGCAAAAAATTCGGCGTTGGCGCCAGAATACCAGTTTTCTCACCTCTTTCTTGAGGGTTTTAAGCAAACGCGCAGTGAAATGGGAGGAACTAGAGTTTATTTTGTCATAAGGTAGTGTGATTACGCATGCCACGAAGTGTTTGCTAGTCTAGTACTGGATAAATTAGCGTTTGGATGCGCATTGTGCGGCTTTAAAGAAATACATACATAAATAGATAGATAGGTGAATAAATAAATGGATAAATAAAAAAAATAAAAATAAAAATAAATAAAATAAATACCCAAATAAATAAATACATAAATAAATCTATAGTGTTATCGTTGCAGGTTATCGTGTCTGTGACCAGGTATCGTAAGATGCGCACAGTGACGAACTATTTCGTGCTATCACTGGCCATCTCTGACCTGCTGTTTGCAACCCACGTCCCCATCATCATCATCACACGCATCACCGTAGACTGGGTGATCGGAGATATACCGTGCAAGCTCGTCGACTACATGATGTTCGTATCGGCAATCAACTCGATTCTCACACTAATGGTATTAACCGGGAGATGAGCGTTAAAGTCGATGTTATTCTGTTAAAGCCATTAATAACCGTGTGTCTGTATAACTCTGCGTATACGTACGTAGTAACTCAACGTAAAGTTGTTCCTTGTCACCTTAAATAGCACTAGCCATTTTTCTTTCAGTTATGTAACGCTTATAAAATTGACAAATGAAAGATCGCATTAATTAAGTTTCGCGAGCTCACTTAATGTTATAAAATCAGCTTATTTAGATCTGCTGTGAAGGTCATTCAGATGGTAATGAACATTATATGGGTTTGCGCATACACTCGCACAGCATGCGTATTTATGTAAACACAGCTGTTGCAGAGCAGGGTCGCATGGTAACAGTAATAGCAATTATTTCCTGTGATATATACACACGCAATGTTGGCTCCCTAATATCATCATGTCTAATGAAATTGCCACCTTAGGTTATGTCATAATCCAACCCAAACTGCATGCAGTGCCCCTTCCGACACTCAGGATAATAGAATTGAGCCAGAGCGAGAGCGCCATCTGTCGTGGAGTTTGAATCCAACCCTCACAGACGCATGTGCGCTGGCGTCTGTACGTGTGGTGTGCATCAGCGCATGCGCTGATGTGCTTTATAAATATTTATAACTTGCTTGCGTCTAGAGCAGTGGTTATTAACCTTTTTGGTCCCACGACCCCATCAGACATTCTTGGGTCAGTACCGTGACCCCCGAAACAAAATTTAAAATTAAAAAAATAATTAAAATTAATAATTAATAATTAATAATTAATAATTAATTTTTTAATTTTAAATTTAAATGGATTTGTTTCATTTATGACACCTTCAGTGGCGTAGCCAGGATTTTTTAACAAGGGGAGGGCCAAAAAACAGCGAACTGCGCAAAATAGTGGATGACTTATTAT